CGAACACAGATGTTCACATAGAAAACTCTTCTAAAATTTCATAGAGAAAGGTTGATGGAGTTTAGGTAGAAATTTATGCCAATTATTTTGGCTATTTTGACAGAGTGGATATTTTTTTGGGAGATCTCTTTTCTTATCTTTGACTAGGGGTACCCCGTGCCTGAAGGCACGGTGCAACGTAAGTGAGAAGCGATGGATTTGGGATAGTAGAAATTCAATGTGAATGATTTTGAGACGGTGGTTGAAGGCCGTTAAATGAGTCTATTTGAGACCGTCGAATGAACTTATTGAAGTCTGTCTTATTTAATATTATATATTTGATACAAATAAAAGTAATATTCTATAATATTTAATCTTCTAACAAATTCTATATTTTACTCATTTTTGACTATATATTCTACAATTTTTGAACCAAAGGAAGCTCTAACAAATAATACCAATACTCTAAGAAATCAATTTTGGTTTGCTAATTTTAAAAGATTTGGTATGAACTTTTTTTTTGTTCATGTACTCAATTAATCTTCTTTTTCATAAATCATTAGAGCGGGCCGTATTAAGAATATCAAAAAAATATATATATAAAACATATATAACTAATTAGAGCGGGCCCAATTAAGAATATCAAAAAATATATATATAAAACATATATAACTAAGAAAAAATAAAATTTCAGGGTAGTCCTAGACCTCTCCTCTATTCGCTACTACCACAGAGAGAGAGAGAGAGAGAGAGAGAGTGTGTGAGAAGATGAAGGTAAAATTCAATCTGAATAATTTTCAGAAAGATGTTGGTGGCCGTTGGATGAGTTTATTTGAGACCGTCGGATGAACTTATTAAAATATTTTCTATTTTATATTATAGATAAATCCACNTGCCAAGACATTTTTTACCCAACACCTGTTCCAATGGAAAAGAATAATAGTATTTCAACAACAAACCAATGCATCCTAGAACAAAGCCAACAGTTATTGATTCAATGTACATAAAAAGCCAATGAGATTTCATGGAAACAATACTACAAGCAATTTGTTTATTCTTGTGTGTGCATGTGTTGAGGTGTGTGTGTCAACCAGTATGTGCGACATATGGATAAAAAAAATGAAAGTAAGCTTCTCATAACCCAACCAAAAAGACATTTCTATTAATAAACAAATTACAATACGTTGTGTTATAGATTTACTGTATGACTGGACAAATTAATTGCAAAATGGAGGGATTTGGATGTCGGGCTGGTCATTTCAAACTTCAAGCAATTTAGTACAGCAGATTCAATTTGCAAAACTTGCAATAATTTGACAATNTAATGAGTTTTTTTTTAATCAAAATGTTATTATTGTCTCATAAAAATTTAAAATGTTACACTACATAGATGATATTAATGGCGAATTTGACTCANGACTGGACAAATTAATTGCAAAATGGAGGGATTTGGATGTCGGGCCGGTCATTTCAAACTTCAAGCAATTTAGTACAGCAGATTCCATTTGCAAAACTTGCAATAATTTGACAACGAAAACACTAAGAAGCATCTAGCATAGAAAAATTTAAGTGGTAATCTTGAAAAGTTCGGGAGGGATTTCGAAGTGCNACCGATTGGAAGAAAAATATTAAGGAAAAAATAATAATTTCTTGACCGTTGGATGCATGAATTTGATATCGTAGGATATGTACAAAATTAGCCGTAATTGTTGACCGGTTAGGAGGGAAAATATTAAGGAAAGAAAAGGTAATTTTTTGACCGTTGGATAAATAAATTTGAGACTGTAGGATGGACTTATTGAAGTCGCCCCGTTTTATATTATAGATGCTCCTATTACCATAACCAAAATCGAAAATTTTTGCCGCCCAAACACCACCATATCAAACAATATNCACAAATTAATGCATCCACTATTTTTATTAGCATACTCTACATATAAGTTAAATCCTTATTTCTAAGTTTACCTAAAATAGATCTCAAGTTGGAAGTAAGAACACCTACAAAGTTTTTGCCCTTTCATCCTTCTCCTCTTCCATCACCAGGTTTCTCTCACACATTCTCTGTCACACACACACACACACCTTTTCCTTCTTCACTCTCTTTGCACAAACACAAACACAAACATGCCCACGTCCATTGGTCACCCAAATTAATAAATTCCAATTCATTACAAACAAATTTAGAAAAATCAAAATCCACATTTCGTTCTTGGATGGGCTACTCTCAACATCAAATAAAGAAATTTCATATTCAAGACCATAACATTCAATCAAATACCACCAAAAAGGAAGCACACTCAATATGAGTCTTTTAACTTCTATATGTACTACCATGAAAATATACGAACATTTAACTCTGGGATCTAAAGTTTCTCATAAGTTACCATTTGCGGAAAAAAAGCATTAAAAAGGCAGTAATCTATTTTGTGAAAGGTAAAAATTTACCTTAGAAAATAATACAATTGCCACTATCAACTCAAGGAATCATCTTGAATCGAAGGAATGCGAAGAAGTGGCCAAAAATGATGAAAAAAAAATATATCCACCAAGCTGACAATAAAAATTTCATCATTCAACCTCTGAATACATTAATTTTTATTTTCTAGTGTACACAAAAACCTCAACTTTTATTTGTTGGTGTACTTGGGACCTTAAAATTAATTAAGAGCCACATATTTTGAAGCCAAAATTCAATGGAATTATATGGACAAAGTCAAACAATGATAAACTAACATAAAATTAAAAACCCTAGTTTATTCAAATAGAGATAGACAAAAAAAAAAGGGTAACAAAAAAAACTATGAAACTTGAACAAAAGAAATCAAACCCATTTGAAAATTTTGGGTAGGACTGTAGATCACAAAGAAATCTGTAGTTTTTTCCTAATTCAATCAAAATCCTAATAACAATAACACACGATCTCAAGCAATTAACAGAAAATAACCTGAAAATACATGCAATCAAATTGAAGATCTTATAGCTTGGGGTTGTGAGCTTAAGGGTTCGGAAACAAATATCATAGAGAGCTTCATTGTTGAGAACCATGCACTTGTCTGCGTTTTCAACCAATTTCGATCAGGGTATTAATCTTTGATCTTTGAGATCAGAAGGTTCCCATTCTAGATCCAGTTCTTCCCCCCAAAGAGTGGCACACCTGAAAACCTGAAAACACACACAAAGATACACCATAAGCCACCAATGCATATAAATTGTTTGTGAAAATGTCAAGGAGAGAAAAAGGTCGTTTGAAATTGTATGCGCGTAAGAGACAGAGAGAGAACGATAGAGAGGTTCAAGAACAAACCCTGTAGGCAATCACAATTCTCGACTTCTTTTCTCACAACATCGAGCACAAAATTGATCAACTTCTATGTGTATGTTCTTTTCTCACGACATCGAGCGCAATTCCCGGCTCCTTTTCTCTTCTGTCTGTGTGTGTGTTCAACTGGAGAGAGAGAGAGAGAGAAGCACCTGGACTTCGTCAGTTGTAGGTTGATCGGCAGTGGGTTGAGCCACGGCAGAGCAGTGAGAAGGAGAAAGATTGAGAGATGGGCGCTGAGATGGGTCTTCTGGAAGAGAGAGAGAGAGAGAGAGAGAGAGAGAAGAGAGCGTCTGTGATTGTGTGTGAGACAAAGTCTAATGGGTTTGGGTAACGTGTAAGTGTTGGGTAGTGTGTAGAAGGCGTTTTGGGCGGGATTTTTTTTTTTGTCTGTGATGAATTTTCAACCGTTAGATGAGATTAGATGAAATCTGAACCATTTAAAAAAAGTTAAATTTAATTTGAATTTTTTTTGACAGAAATGTTGGTAGCCGTTGGATGAAATGAATTGTGACCGTCCGATCGATTTGTTGAAGCCGTTGTGTTTTATATTATAGATGATTCTTTTTGCAAGTCATAGTCATAGAATCCTCCACATAAGTGCACAATCAATAAATCAAAGTCCTAGTTGAGATGGTGGCGTGAAGAGCAGGCTACAAAGCTCTGGAGGAGGATAGTTATAATTAAGGATATATACAATTACATAGAGACACTATCTTCGAGTAATGGAAATCTCGATAATTATTTCCCATGTACGTTGATTTTCCTGAATTTTGGACCAAATTGAGACTATTAGTTAGACTTAACCTACCTTCTAATTGATTTGGGCTTCCCCATAAATTGGGGATGGATCCAACTGGATCTGAGCTCGTCAACTACAATCTAAACAACTCAATCGATTTAAGATGCAAAATTTGATATTTATTTTTTGGAGACCATATTAATCAACATGTATATACTAAATCTCATAACATCTGCATGGGGACTCACTTGGAACCCGAAAATAAGAAAACCTCAATAACACTAATAAATATTAGGTATAACTGTTATAGTATATCAGTAACGGTTATAGTATGTATATCAGTAATACTGATGTTTTATAAACATTCAAAAAAATTTATAAAATAAATAAAATAGGGCTCATTTTCTATTATGAAAGTGGAGATGATTATTTATTACATAATTGGGTCGTTATAATTTGTTGTGGGGTGCATTTGCTGACTTATTTAGTTATTAATAAACAATTATGTAACGTAATACTATTGTCGTAATACAATAGTTACATCTAATTTTTTTTCCTAGTAATGCACATCAACAAGAGAGGAGAAAAAATCCAATTCAATGCTGGTACGATATCATTAATTAATAATAAAATTTTAAATAAATAAAATAAATTCCATTTGAATAATTTTTTACTTACATAAAAAATAAATCTTATATTAATAATTAATTTATATAAAATTTATTTTTTATTCATTTATATATTATTAATTAATAATACCACCACACAGTAGTCACGTTATCACCTTTCCACCAACACATGCGCAGCAAATGCAATTTGATTTTTTTTTCCCGGCAAATGCAATTCATGGGGCATTTAATGCCACGTGGCAAAACAGAAAACCCTTCCCAGGTGTCACCTTCCCCGCTGAACTCTACCGTTGTAGCCTTTCACCTTTCCTTACGCCACGCGTGTACTCTGTACATATGTGTACCCATTTCTTCACTCTGAAATCTCAAACTTATCGTCTCCGTGGCCGTTCGAAACGTTCATGTAATCTCATCATCGTATCGATTCTCTCTCCTAATCTGTTTTTCTATTTAGAAGATGGCAAAGGCAAGTTTGACACTAACCGGATTGTTGAAGCAAATCGCCGGTGAATTTCCCTCCCGGCGAGCGCTTTCAGTTTCCGGAAAATTGGATCTCACGCACGCTCGCCTTCATGATCTCATTGAACGAACCGCTTCTCGCCTTGTTGCTACCGGTGTTAAACACGGTGACGTCGTCGCTCTCACCTTTACCAACACCGTCGAGGTCCATTTCCTTTTCCTCATTCTTTTTGAAAGTTCTAATTCTTGTTTGGTTTCCGAGAAAATATTACGTCAAAATTGGAGTACTGTTTCTCTTCGGTTTCTAAAACGAAATATGGATCTTAAATGGTTTGAACATTCTTCAGTTAAGGATTATTCACTGTTGTTCTATTATCTCTTGAGTAATTGAATAATTAGATCCTGATACAATCAGTTTTTCATCGTTTTCTCAGTTGCCAAACAGGTTTTCTTTTTCTATGCTTCAGGCTCTTCCTGTCGGATTGTTTTTTAATTGCATTAATTATCCTTTAATTACAATGTTTAATTACATTTAATTGCAGTTCGTTATTATGTTTTTGGCTGTAATCCGAGTACGAGCCACGGCTGCGCCACTCAACCAAGCGTATACCTCAGACGAGGTCGAGTTCTACTTGTCAGATTCTGAGTCAAAGCTCTTACTCACTAACAAAGAAGGAAACCAGCCGGCTCAAGCCGCGGCTTCGAAGCTCAACATTCCGCACGTCACAGCCACTCTTTCTGAAGCCGACTCGGAAATTACTCTCTCCTCGACTCAGCCTGAGTTAGACCCTGGCGCGGTCTCCAAAATCATCAATGACCCCTCAGACGTCTCTCTTTTCCTCCACACTTCTGGGACCACAAGCCGACCCAAAGGTGTCCCTTTAACTCAGCTCAACTTGGTTTCCTCGGTGCAAAACATTAAATCGGTGTATAAACTCACTGAGTCAGACTCGACCGTTCTTGTGTTGCCTCTCTTTCACGTGCATGGATTATTAGCCGGTTTATTGAGTTCTTTCGGCGCCGGAGCAGCCGTAACACTTCCAGCCGCTGGAAGATTCTCGGCTTCGACGTTTTGGTCAGACATGAACAAATGCAAAGCCACTTGGTACACAGCAGTGCCTACTATACACCAGATCATACTCGATCGCCACTTAAGTAACCCCGAACCCGTTTACCCGAAGCTCCGATTCATTCGGAGCTGTAGTGCTTCACTAGCGCCGTCCGTAATGGCTCGGCTCGAGGAGGCATTTGGGGCGCCGGTCTTGGAGGCTTACGCAATGACGGAGGCGACCCATTTAATGGCTTCGAATCCGTTACCGAATGATGGCCCGCATATACCCGGATCGGTTGGGAAACCCGTTGGCCAAGAGATGGCGATATGGGACAAAAATGGGGTGGAACAAGAGGGTAATGTTAGTGGAGAGGTTTGTATTAGGGGGCTAAATGTGACCAAGGGTTATAAAAATAACCCTGAGGCTAATAAATCCGCTTTTCAATACGGATGGTTCCATACCGGAGATCTTGGTTATTTTGACTCCGATGGGTATTTGCATCTCGTGGGCCGGATAAAGGAGCTGATTAATCGTGGAGGTAAGATACTTGTCATTGGCTATAAAGTAGTTGTTATTTATGTCTTGCATCTTTCGTTTTATTTGATGCATTCAAGTATTTATTTTCTTAAATGCATGAGATTTTTTTTTAATTAACGGATCCAGTATTTAGAGAACTGCAAGGAATATATATTATAGTATTTTTTGGACCTTGTAATCCTTTAGGCTTCGTCATATTGGGAGAGAAATTTCCTCCAAACTTTCTTTTTAATTTTTTTCTTAGCACATTATCAACCATCCATTGTATACAATTAGATCTCTCATTCATTAATAGCGAATCTCTTACTCATTAATGTGGATGATGTGTCAAAAAAAAAATTAAAATATATATATATATATATATATATATTCGAGAAGATCTGTATCTATCATATTTACTTAAATTGCTTGCATAATTCATTTATTGTTGTTGTATTAAATACCTTTATTTGTTGAAGTCACTATCATTTACTGTTGTGGTTGAATTTCCTATACATTAAATCGGTGGATTAAGTTGACAAATTGATCAAATTAGTTTATTATTTTCTATCATCTGTTGTTGTCTCATGTCATAATCGCACCAAGTATTGTAGTACTAGTTGGCAACTACCCAGTTTGGGCTTTTCCCAGTGGCAACTTTCGTGATCCGGTACAACCAAAGCTCCCTCGTATTTTTTTTTGTTCAGTGATCCAGAATGTTTGAATTAATTTGTGCGTTTTAACTAATTTTTTCTCTAATTCAGTCAAAAATAGACTATCCACGTCGAGATTAGAGTAATTCATGAATAATAAATTTTTCATGATCTGATTCTAAAAAATTGTCAAAATTCAAACTTGTGAGATATAAATTTACAGTTCGTCCCTGTTCCCAGCTACCTTACTATTGACTTTCCCCTTGATTGCCACCATCCCAATTGGTTCTTCTGAGCAATTATTTGAAAGGCATATTTTTTAAGATTCATAATGATTATGATTCGTTTTGAAATCTCAAGGTCTTAATGTGATTACCATTTGAATAAAAGTTAGATTGAGATTTTTATATAAGTCCAATCCAAACGTTTTTAAATCCCCATCCATGATTTGGACATTTCGAGTTAGGTTAGAGGTAACCCGCCTAATTTGCATCAAATAATTTTATGTTAAAAATTGAACGGCTTGAATTAAAACATAGATGTCATTGGAAGCATATGCTTCAAAGTATTATGTCAGTCTTAATCATTTATAATTTGTATTGTTTCCAACGGCAGGGGAGAAGATATCACCGATAGAAGTAGATGCCATCCTTTTGTCTCATCAAGACATTGGCGAAGCTGTTGCTTTTGGAGTTCCGGACGACAAATATGGAGAAGAGGTAATAGGACAATTCCTTCGCCATCTCTCGTTGTTATCACCGATTATTCGACATAAGTTTCATAAATTTGCTCATACCATGTCGCTTGTGTCTATAATGTGGGGTCGTTGATGAAATTCACTTTGTACAACTTGGTGCACACACAAGCCCTGCATCTGACCCATGACATTGTCTTCTTCTAAGGGACGTTTGGTAGCATTATCACTAAGTTGATAATCGAGCTGANCACACACAAGCCCTGCATCTGACCCATGACATTGTCTTCTTCTAAGGGACGTTTGGTAGCATTATCACTAAGTTGATAATCGAGCTGAATTATTCGGGCTCCGTTTAAATTTGAATCATATAGGTCTCAACTTGAGTTCGACTCGTGTTCTAAAAGAGTTAAGTTTGAGTAATTTTTTAAACTCGTTTATAACAAGGAGTCTTTAAACTCGATTCAAACTCATAAAGTTTGACTCATTTATATATAAAATAGTTGAGTTACTAGAGCTCGACTCTTTTAAAAAAAAATTTAGGCATGAAGAATGAGCCTTTAAGTTTGAACAAATTTTTTTAACTCATTTAGAAAAACGAGTTTAATAAGTTTGGTTCAAATTTGTAAAACTCGACTTAATTATCAATAGGTCTTTGGTCAAATAATTATCTTGTGAAAGCTTTATATTTTTAAGGTCAAGGGTTCAAACTCCCTTTTTTCTCCCTTCCCAAAACAAAAAAAAAACAAAATTATCAACCATAATTATCCGTGCAAGTGCATANCCCTCTTTTTTCTCCCTTCCCAAAACAAAAAAAAAACAAAATTATCAACCATAATTATCCGTGCAAGTGCATACAAGCTGGAAAAGCACCATTGATATTTGGTGCATGCAAGCTCGGAAAGCACCGTTGCTATGTGGTTGGGCGGTAGAAGTAGGCATATTACTGCTTTTTTTTTGGCTCAATTAATTGAGACCATTTCCCTTGGTAATGGAAAATTAGACCATCCNATGTGGTTGGGCGGTAGAAGTAGGCATATTACTGCTTTTTTTTTGGCTCAATTAATTGAGACCATTTCCCTTGGTAATGGAAAATTAGACCATCCTTGAGTATATTAACCATGAAAATATTAAAGAGCAGCTTTAGTTAGATAACCTATGGGTGGACCAAACGTGGGAGTGTGATTTTACATCCACATCTCCTTTTTCTTCTTGTTTTAGTTGCAAATTTGTTAGTGATTGACGTCCTTTGCAGTTATTATAATGGTTGGGGGTTATTTCCACCCTTTTTTCTACGTACACCCCATTAAAAATATCCCATTACTTGATATACCTCTACCCTCTTATCCCACACCACTCCAGTTTCTCCTCCATAGCAAATCAACGTCTCTCTCTCCATTCACGGGAGTTTTTGTGTTTCTTCACCACTGATATGAAATGATAGGACTTAAAGTGTTGCATCAAGTCAATTATAGACACAATTTCCACCATTACACTGCAAGAAGCAAGGCCAACAACATCTTCACCATCTCTGAATCGACCCAAGCACTATAAACAAGGATTACACTTCTTTATACTGTTAGATAACAAAAACATGAATGAAAGCACTATGTGACCCCTCTTTCTACTGACAACCTCTATCTCTGATTTTCTTTTCCTTCGCCATCTTCACCAATGTATTTTGTTGTATTTTNCAAAAACATGAATGAAAGCACTATGTGACCCCTCTTTCTACTGACAACCTCTATCTCTGATTTTCTTTTCCTTCGCCATCTTCACCAATGTATTTTGTTGTATTTTGTTGATGAATCACTATTTCGAATCACATTTATATTGATATGTTTATACATCTATATAATAAAGTAGATTACAATTCAAATTTCAAAAATAAGCAAAATGATTTTTGTTTTTTGCAATTCAGATCGCTTTAAATTTTACTTTAANTTGTTTTTTGCAATTCAGATCGCTTTAAATTTTACTTTAAAGTTAATATTAACATCCTAAATTTAATAGAAAAAATAGACTCTAAGGGTATATTTAGAATGACTTTTTAAAAGTATATCTACAAATTATTTCTCATAAGTATTTTTAAAAAAAATAGTATTTAAAATTGCTCCATTACTACCTCTATCACCACCACCACCGTCGCTACTGCCACTATCACCACTGTCGCCATTGCCGTCACCACAACCACCATCGCCATCACCGCCGCTGCCATAGTCATTACCAGCCATCACAACCATCATTGTCTCCTACCACCACCACTGTCGCCTACCACCTCTTACCCCTATTGCAATCGATACTTAAATTCATTTATCTCTCCTCCATATTTGTGATTTGATTTTAGATATGAATACAAATATGTTTATTGTTTGTAATTTTTTATTACTCTATGCGTTCAAGCACAGATAATAATTAGTATCAATATATTACATCAAGGATCCCCTACATATATTTCTAATGTTTTATAACTAAAAAACTCTGCTATCATCCAAAGTTGGTGTGATTAGGGTGACAATCATGTCATGTCATTTTGTGTTTGTATCGAGCATTAATCAATCTTAACTCAATCCTTTTACCTAATAGTGTAAATATCGTGTTGCTTTATTTATATACGTATCATATTCATATTGACTTATATAACCCGTGAATAAAAAACATATTCTCCCTCAGTTTTATGTCTAAAATTTATGTATCACTTAATCGAATTTGTGCTTAGACTTTTTCTATAAGTTAAAAATTAACTTAATAAATAAAAAAATCAAAAAAATATCTTCTTTTTTTTTTTACAAGAATTAGGTCACTATTTAATAAAATATAATAAAAAATTTATATTGTATTCTTATATTACTATTTAAATGTGTTAATCGTATTAATTTTATGTTATTCGTATTTGATATTAATTCAACTCATTTATTATTCGTGTTAACGAGTTATGTCATATATGAGTTCGTGTTAAGAAATGGTCACCTCTACCCCTCTAATCAAAAGTGAGACTCATTTGATTTTGTGACAAATCTCAAAGGATTTTGGTACAATTAAGTCAAAGAGAGAATAAATAAAGAAAAGGGAAATATTTTTTGAGTAATATAATGTTTTCTAAGTTTTTCATCTAAAGTTATGTGATACAATTTTTATTATTAAATATTATTTGATGGTAAAAACTGCGTCACATCACTTAAAATGGTAAACTTTGTAAAAAAAATTTATCAGTATAGTATTAGTGATATTTTTTTATCCTAATGGCCATTTGATTACTCGGTGTCGTACAAGTGGAAGTTTAGATTCTTTTAATATATATATTTTTTTCCAATATATTTTTTGGTAGACCACTTACGGTAGTTTCAAGTAAAACTCAATATATAAATGGATTTTTCATTCATTAATTGTAAATGATTTGCGGAGAAAACAAATAATGATCGGATCTACATCCACAAAGTTTCGTCTACCGCTTTAGTCATTTGAGGCTAACTACATACGCAATATCAATTTCTGTTGCAGATAAATTGCGCGATTGTTCCGAGAGAAGGCTCGAACATTGAGGAGGCAGAAGTGTTGATGTTGTGCAAGAAGAACCTTGCAGCATTCAAGGTCCCCAAGAAGGTTTTCATAACCGATTCACTTCCTAAAACTGCAACTGGGAAAATCCAACGACGGATTGTTGCTGAGCACTTCCTTGCTCAAATCTCAACTGCTAAAGTCCCCAAGTTTGGAGCCTGATTGCCCTTTTCTCCCTATTCATTTCTCTGCTAAGACGTTACAAAGCAATAAGGATAAAACAATGCTTTCTAAATTTCTTTATCAAGTACTGTATTCTAAATAATGTGTTAAAATTCTGTGTATTGAATGTTTGGCAAAATTAGTGGATCTCATTCATTCAACTACTCACACTGATTTGAGATATAAAATTTAGTAAATAATTTTAAAAATATAACATTGCTCCCGACCAATTTTGGGTTTTAAGTCCCTTTTGTAGTTTTTTTTAGTGATTCGTAACTTATAGATCACCTCGTAGATTAAATAGAATTGTGTGGGAAAATAAATGAACTGAATGGCAAAAATACTTCAACCCCAATATTTTATGTTATAATTGTTGGGTGATGGTGGTGGGTAGTTTAAGTAATGAGATTGTTCTGTAGAATTATTTCAAAGTAAGGCAATTTTTTTTCTTCAAAATTAGGTTTGGAATGTGGAAGTATCCATCATTAAAACCTAATTCTTTCTTTTTTTTTTCTTTTTTTCTTTTTTGTGTTCAACTGTCGAGAGTGTCTGGGTTACCTCAACTAATTCTCTCGTCGGTTCAGTCAAATACAAACTATTCATATCGAGATTAGAGTATTCATAAAGAATAAATTCTTTATAACATGCTTTTAAGTGGTTATTAAGATTTGAATGTCCTTCTTACCTACGCCTCAACTAATTCCCTCTCCGGTTCAGTCAAGATATGTCATTCACTCCCAAATTAAGTTATTTATGAAGAATAAATTCTTCATGACCTGACTTCAAGTGATTACTAAGATTTGAACTTAAGACGTCGAAATTTATAACTTGCTCATATTATCACTTGAACTACTTTTTAAGGTTAATACCAAATTCTTCCACAGTAAAAAAGGCAAAGAAAATGTTTTACTAAAAAAAAAAAAAAAAAAGTAGATCATAAAAGAAAGGGAATGCTTCTAATATCTTTAGTAATTATTTTCCCAACCTGATTGGAGGATAGATTATTACCAAACTCTATAATCTTCTATTATGTAACCAAAATATTCACTTTATTTGCATCCAAATAACATCAATAATCTCAACATTCAAGAATTTAGTTTTTTGTATAACCCACTAATCATTGTTTTCATTTATAATCTATAATATAAACAATATTGAGATCAATAAATTCATTTAAAAATTTCAAATAAATTCATTCAATAATCACTAGCATCTTTTCAAATAAAAGGNATCTATAATATAAACAATATTGAGATCAATAAGTTCATTTAAAAGTTTCAAATAAATTCATTCAATGATCACTAGCATCTCTTCAAATAAAAGTTACCCTAATTTATCCATATTAATAAAATGACGGTTAGTCGCGTGTCAAACCAGCCATTGTCCATTGTTAGTCACATTTTCCATGAGAAAACACTTCCGACAGACAGATTTGACATGATACATAAGGAGATACGGTATAGACAATTATAATAATTTTTTTAAGTTCCTATACAAGTTTTTCGCGTTTAATTACAAATAAAAAAAAAATTACAAATGAGATTAAAATTTTAGGTTCGATTCTAAAAAAAATTATGTTTTCTGAGATTATCTTACAACTTTCTACTAATCAGGTTACAATTTTTTTGAGTTTACAATCGTCCTTCACAAATTATATGATCAATCACCAAAAACTTTAGGAATTGTAAATAATCTTCAAAAATTATATAAAAAATCCTAAAAAGTTTGTATATAATAGTACAACACAAATTATTTTTGGTTACCGTACAGCAATATGATTCCTTCAAAATTATCTAGCCCAATACCATCCATTAGTATTCAAATCGAACAATTAAGTAAAACAGTACTAATAACAACAAAGCATACGAAATATGCCACGAAAAGTGGCAAAATTGTAACAATCCAAACATAAAGAAAAAGGTTTCAGAAGAACTACTGATTAAATTCAACCAAATAAGCCAATACCAAATCCAAGGATTTCTTAGGCCTCCTGAATTTCTTCCTCTTCATCTTCATAGTCATAGCCCTCCTCATCTGCTGTTGCATCTTGATATTGCTGGTACTCAGAAACTAAATCATTCATGTTACTCTCTGCCTCTGTAAATTCCATTTCATCCATGCCCTCTCCAGTGTACCAATGCAAGAAAGCCTTTCTGCGGAACATAGCTGTGAATTGCTCACTCACCCTCCGGAACATCTCCTGAATTGAGGTCGAGTTCCCAATGAAAGTTGATGCCATTTTCAATCCAGTGGGAGGGATATCACAGACAGTAGACTTCACATTGTTGGGAATCCATTCAACAAAGTAGGACGAGTTCTTGTTCTGTACATTGATCATCTGTTCGTCCACTTCCTTGGTACTCATCTTGCCACGGAACATAGCTGAAGCTGTCAAATATCTGCCATGGCGGGGATCAGCAGCACACATCATATTCTTTGCATCCCACATTTGCTGAGTAAGCTCAGGAACAGTAAGTGCTCTGTATTGCTGTGACCCACGAGATGTGAGTGGAGCAAATCCAACCATGAAGAAATGCAACCGAGGAAAGGGGATGAGGTTGACAGCAAGCTTGCGGAGATCAGAGTTCAGTTGCCCAGGGAAGCGGAGGCAGCAAGTCACACCACTCATGGTGGCAGAAATCAGGTGATTCAGATCTCCAACTGATTGAACAGAAGTGTTATATTAGTGTCCAATTTTAGTTCACTTTTCTAAACAAGGGCAATGAATCCCCAACTCTAACCAGAAAAAAAAAAAAGAGAGCAAAAAAGAATCTCATATAGAGTATTTCTTTTCAATAGGAACATAGTGTATCAAAGAGCAGAATATCAACTGGAATCATATGGACCGTCTCTTCCCATAACTCCACATGTGCAAGAAATTTGCATCATGAGATCACATTAACAGCATCATGGTACAAAACTCACACACAAAATAGAAGATATGTAAGATTTCGAAAGAGGCCCAATCATGTGAACTCGCAACCACACAGCTGTAAGCTCCCATAACAAAAATTGGTTCAACATTAGTCAACTTAACTTCTATGATATAAAATACAGGTAAAAAGATATAATGCCAACAATGCAGATTTTGTGCACTATGCTGCAAATATTTCAAGTGACCNACACAAAATAGAAGATATGTAAGATTTCGAAAGAGGCCCAATCATGTGAACTCGCAACCACAGCTGTAAGCTCCCATAACAAAAATTGGTCCAACATTAGTCAACTTAACTACTATGATATAAAATACAGGTAAAAAGATATAATGCCAACAATGCAGATTTTGTACACTATGCTGCAAATATTTCAAGTGACCTTTTATTTGAATGTCAAATATGTAATGCAATGAAGGAAGCTAGATGAAACTAAGCCAGCTCAGCCACATGGATGATGTATAGCATGCCAGTTGTACAATGGTGGTGATAGTAAAAAGTACACTCTTACACACACCTTAAGAAAGTTGAGAGACAACACATTCGATAAAGACATTGTAACTACAATGATGAAAAAGGAAAAAAAAAAAAACACTTACAACTTGGAGTGGTGAGTTTAAGGGTTCGGAAGCAAATGTCATACAGAGCCTCATTGTCCAAAACCATGCACTCGTCTGCATTCTCAACAAGCTGGTGGACTGAGAGGGTTGCATTGTAGGGTTCAACAACAGTGTCCGACACCTTAGGGGACGGGAACACGGAGAAAGTGAGCATCATTCTGTCAGGATACTCTTCCCTAATCTTGGAAATAAGAAGAGTCCCCATCCCTGAACCAGTACCACCTCCTAATGAGTGGCAAACCTGAAAACCTGATATCAAAAACAAAAATGCTTAAAGTTAGGGCTTTCAAATGTCACAACAATCAAAAATAAAATAGAGATTCATATAAAAACCACAGTGAAAGCAAATACAAACCAGAACCAACAAAACATAGGAACAAAGACAACAACTTGAGTATTTTCAATGTTTAAAATCAAAGGCTAAATTAAAAAACAAAAACTAATAAACGATGAAAAACATATGAAAAATAAATACGATATTTATGAGATTACAGGAGCATCACCATCAGAATGGTAGAACCAAACTAGTAAAACAAAGTACTTCAAAATGTAAAACAAAATAAAAATCGGACATTACCGGCAGGATCACATAAAAAAAGCGAAAACGAAACACAAAAAAAATTCTAAATCGGAATACATTTTTTGACATGCTTGCCAAAAAAAACAAACAAAATCAATACTAGAGGAAGCTCTAGTGACAAATTTAGGAATAAAAATTCCAGATCTACATTATTCAAACGCTACAGCACAAGAAAAGTAGATCATATTTCAAGTACAAATCACTTCCATAAATATAGACAAGAAAATTCACTTTCATGAAAAATTTCAACTATTACTTCCACAAACCGAAAAAAAAAACACAGAATACCTTGAAGACAATCGCAGTTCTCAGCCTCCTTTCTCACTACATCAAGCACCGAGTCAATAAGCTCTGCTCCCTCAGTATAGTGCCCCTTCGCCCAATTATTACCGGCGCCGGACTGTCCGAAAACAAAGTTATCCGGCCGAAATATCTGTCCGTACGGACCAGATCTGACGCTGTCCATGGTACCAGGCTCGAGGTCCATAAGCACAGCGCGTGGAACAAACCGCCCACAGCTGGCTTCATTGTAGTACACATTTACGCGCTCGAGTTGAAGATCGTTGTCGCCTTGGTACCGTCCGGTGGAGTCGATGCCGTGCTCGGCACACACCACTTCCCAGAACTTTGCTCCGATCTGGTTGCCGCATTGGCCTCCTTGAATGTGCAAGATCTCACGCATTTTGAAGAGAAAGAGTGAGGGTTTCAGAGAGAGAATGTGATGGCTTGTAGAGAGAGAGAAAGTGATGGCTTGTAGAGAGAGAAAGTGAGAGTAGAGAAAGAGCGGAAAGGAACTGGTTGTTGTTGGGGTTTGGAGCAAATTGTGAAGACAGCGGGGTGCGGGGATTTTAATTAAGGGGATGAGTT